AGAGGCTGCTATTGGACTCCTGCAGCTAGTGCAAAGATCTGGTTACAACAATGTATGGATGTCAGATACGCCCGCTGGAGGTTGTTCAAGCCATCAACAAGCATGTTTGTGCAAAATTGTCTATGTTATTGGTATATGAGGGTATTAAATGCTCTCTAATTATGTTAATGTTAAATCTTTTACTCATATTAGGAGAGTGGGCAATATCGTTGCTCATTTTGTTTCGAGTTGGGACACAAACAAGAGTTTAGTGTTAGTTTGTATGAACACATTCCCCCAAAGTATTCAAACTTGGTGGACTTTAATTGAGTTGCAATAATATTTCCTTCTTAATTTTTCCTAAAAAAAATACACATTAGCCTACTAGCTCATCATGTAGAGCATTGTGCTAATGCACAGAAGATGTGGGTTCAAATCCCATGTAGGTTCATTTGTATAATGTGGAGACGAGAGTTTGTATGAGAGTATAGTTGTGACAATTTTTTTTTATATTGTTGTTAGTCATTACAAGCCTATTTTTTGTTCTTATAACTTAGTGTTAATTTGATTTATTTTCATGTTTTACTTTTAAGTTATTATGGTTTACTTTTAACCTATGTAGGAATCAAACCTACATCTTTTATGCATTTGCATAGTGCTCTACCAATTAAGCTAATAGGTTTTAGCATGTGTTCATTTTTTTCATTGTTCTAAAATTTACCGTAAATGTTCTAAAGTTTTTTGCTAATACTTTAATTTTTTCTTCCTATGCTTTTATATATGTTCTAAATTATTTTCTTATCATCTAAATTTTTTCACCCTATGTTCTAATTTTTTTTTGCCAATGATCTAAATTTTTTCACCCATTACTCTAAATTTTTCTGTCTATGCCTGAATTTTTCCTATGCTCTAAATTTTTTCACCGTATTTTGTTAATGTTCTAGATTTTTCCCTATATTCTGAAAATTTTCACCATATGTTCTAAATTTATTTCCTATGTTCTAAATTTTTTCGCCCTATGTTCTAATCTTTTTTCCTATGTTTTAAATTTTTTCACCCTATGTTCTAAACTTTTTTCATATGTTCTAAATTTTTTCACTCTATGTTCTAAATTTTTTTCCTATGTTCTAAATATTTTCACCCTATGTTCTAAACTTTTTGACTATGTTCTAAAATTTTTGTCTATATTCTAAATTTTTTGTCTTATGTTCTAAATTTTTTCCTATATTCTAAAATTTTCCATCTATGTTCTAAATCATGTGCCTATGCTCTAAATATATGTTCTAAATTATTTTCATATGTTCTAAATATTTTCACCCAATGTTCTAACTTGTTTTTTTTCCCTATGTTCTAAAACCAAGGCTCCTCTTTTACCCTACAACAATTTTGTAGAAGCCATATTTGTTCTAAATGACTGTGAAACTCATGTAACAAATAACAAATATCAAAATTCAAGAGTTGCGAGAAGACATTTATCAATACTTTGTTGTAAAGTAGAAAAATTAAAAAAAATGCAATATATATCTTATTCTCAAGGCAAGTTAGCTCTAAAAAACAATAAGCTTAATAGGGCAACCAACTTGATAAATTAACAATACCAAAGATCACATAAATCTATCTTATACTTTGCATGTGTGTGATAGAAATTATCACCCAAAAAACAAGTCAACCAAAAAGATTTTGATTCTTTCTTTCAAAGGTTGATAGGAGACAAATGTTAAGCTAAAGGTATAAGGAAGTCTTTGCGATCGTGGAGCAAAGACAACCTAACTCCACTACCATAGCTTTTCAAACTGTAAACAACAGCATTTGGCACATATTCCTACAACATACAAAACCAACCTTTCAAAAGAATTTGCACATCTTTTACCAAATGCAAGTAACAACTTCAGTTAACTAAGTCACATTCACTCACAACATCAACAAACACTCTGTGATCTGGGTGTGCCGGTGTGGAGCCTCATGACATACTCTTTAGTTCCAAGCCAAAACTAAATATTGATTCTAGACATCATCATTGTATTCGAACATATACTTTAGAACATAATTCTACTAATTTTAGAACATAATTCTACTAATTTTAGAACATAATGGTAAATCTTTAGAACATAATTCTATTTTGAAAAAGCATAAATTATCAGATTTAAACATGTTAATCATACTTAAGGTTATAATTTAACAACACATTAGACGTAAATTCCAAATTAGACACTAATGTTAGAAAATATCTTATAATTGCTACAAATTTGATTAGGTTTTGAAATTAGCAAAAATCAAACAAAAAGCCAAATAAATACATAAAGTTCTTCAAAATTGTCAATTTATCAATTACCTTTGCATTTCGGCAATAATTTATGTACAATTTGATGCCCTTCTCCTCCTTCCACTCAAATTTTTCTTCAATTTGTTCTTGCGTCAAATTAGGGCTTGTATTTACAAGATTGGCAAATAAATTGCTCAATTTAACTTGTTTAATGAAAACTAATGTTATGAACACTAATTTTCGTTAAATTTGAGTGAAAATTAGAATAAAAAATCACTGGAATTTCCTTTAAATGCAGCAATTTTGGGTGATTTTTGCCTATTTGGAGTGAATTGGGGGATTTTAGGAGAGAGAGCGTAGAGTAGTGTGGGTTATGTTTGAGGAGAGAGAAAGTTTGGGATATATGTATAGATGGTTACTTTTCGTATTTACTATAATGCCATTACTTGCGCTCCTTTAATCTAGATCATCTATTTCAATCTAATCCGTATATATATATATGAATACTTTTTTCTTAATCGGAATAGACTAGGGTTCTTATATAGGGAGGGATTGGATCCCTCCCCTATATATATATATATATTAAGAAAGGAAAAAGCAGCAAAAATAATCCCAACTATTGCCTTCCTTCTCATTTTAATCCCAACTATAGTTTAACCTAAAATAATCCTAACTATTGGGTGACCCTTCTTAAAATAATCTAACTCATTTGGTAACCTATTGTTCAAGTAAAAAGAGTGATGTGTGAAGTTGGTATTGATTAGTGCTTTTTAATAAAAATAAAACAATCACCCCTTCTTTTTTCTTCTCTAACCACTGCCCACATCCACAACCCTCTCGACAATAACTTCATTCTCTACCATCGAAATCACTTTCTTAGCCACCCACAACCACCGAAACCACCATTGTAGGCTACTAGCGAAACCATTATCCCAGCCACCAAAATCACCATTTTAGCCAAGTCCTGTCATGGAAAGTCGGAAACCACCATTTCATTATGCGTTGTCACTGAAAAGTCGAAAACCACCATTCCATCCAAACATGTCCAGCCATAAAAAAGCTACCCAATCTCTATTAGCCACCGTAACCACAATTAAATCTTAAGACTTGGAGCATCAACAATTATCCAATTAAGGCTAGGAATAATTCACAGGCAACCCAACCAAAATTGTGAAAGTGATTACTTCTTAAATTATTTGTTTAATTTTGAAATGTAATTAAAAAAAAACCAGAAATTCAATGGAGAAAAAGGTGTTATGGAGATATTGTGGATTGGAGATTTGGAGAGGATAGAGAAAAGGAAAAGTGTTAGCCTTCTTCAGTAGATGGTATGGTAGGGACATAAATAAAGGTGAAAGTTAAGAGTAAAAAGAAAAGAATGAAAAAAAACCCGGTAGGAGAGGTAATAGGTAAATGAGAGTATTTTGAGATGGAATACCTAATAGTTGGGATTACTGTAAGGGGCCGTTTGATTCGCACAAGGTAAACAGAATAGAATCAACAAAGGGAAAGGAAAGCTAATCCCTCATTTTTGTAATGTTGTTTGTTTTACATAAACAAAGGGAATCACATTTGCACCACCACTACTCTCCTCCTTCTACAACCACCACTACCCCTTAAATCTACCGTTCACCTACCACCACCACCACCACTTTAGCCACTGCCCTCCTCACGACCTGCCACTGTCTCCCCTATCGCCTGCCCTTGCCGCCGCTAGTTCCCTCCCCTCTACCGCCGTTAATGTCCTCTTCTCTCTCATTTTTTTAATTTATTAGATCTAGTTGTTTGATTGTTCATAAGGTATTAAGGATTATTTTTTAGATGTTTGTGGGTAACTTGGGGTGTTTATGGAGAAATATAGGGTTTTTGGGTGGTTTTTGTGGTGGATCTAGAGGTTTTGGAGATATGGGTAATGGCTGTGTCGAATTGAGTGAGGTGTTTCACACAGGTGGGTTTAGGTCCATTTTGGTGCAATTGTTTACAGGGAGGGTGGATTTAGGGTGGTTTCGGTGGGGTGGTTTTCAAGAAGAGTGGGTTTTTTCGTGTGGGCTTAGGGCGATTTGGGAGGTCGGTTATGTTGGTGAAGTTTGGGTCGGTTGATGGTGGTGGTGTCGACGGTTGGGCGGTGGTTTTGATGACGGTTAAACAATTGTGATGGCAACTAAGGCGGCGGCTATGGTTGTTGGGCAGTGGTTCTGGTGGCGGTTAAACAATGGTGATGGCGGATAGGCGGCAACTATATGGTTCTTGGTGGTGGTTCTGGTTGTTGGGTGGTGTTTTCAATGTTGGTCAAAGGTAGTTACAAGGTGGTCATGGCAGTTGGGTGAAGAGGGATTTGGGGGAAAGAGTGATTCACTAAAAGGGGGGTGGGAATCAAAGTAGAGGGAAATGGGGTAATAGGAGGGGTAAAGGGAATGATTAATTGTGTGTAACAAACATCATCAAAGGGATTTAAGGTAGTTGATTCCCTTTCCCTTTCTTCAATACCCCCAACCAAACAGCCTCTAAGTTAAATTGTAGTTGAGATTAAAATGAAAAAGCGGTCAATAGTTGGGATTATTTTTGTTAATTTTTTCTATAAGGAACAAACGAGATGAAACAACCAATCAAATCAGATAAACAATAAAAACTGTTTATTAAGTGACAATTTCGTATATAAATCAATAATTTTTTAATTAGATGTGACTTAAAATGCCATTTTAAGGAGTTTTTTAAAATTTATGTATGATATTGTCATTTAATAAAAAAAAAAAGAAAAAAGAAAAAAAAAGGTGGCCTTTGGTGTGGGGTTGGTTGGAGTCGTGGGGGAAGGAAATTCATACGGTCATACCTCTGCGTCGAAGACAATAACTACTACGGACTACGGAGTACTGTCTTCCCCCTCTCTCTATCAGTTTATTTTCCTCCTCATCTGACGCGATCAAATATCACCTACGTTTATGAAAGTTTGATCTGTAAGTTCAAACTTAATAATTTGCTTCCTCTGTTGACTTCTGTGCTGCTACAACCAACTCAGTTTGCTTTTATTTTTTAGCTTTATATGTGCAATTTTATTTTATCTTTATTTATTTTTAATTATATAGGAGAGGAACAAGAGGAGAGTGATTTGCGAAAGCCTTGTATTTGGGGCCTTGTTCTATTATTGTGTTTGAATTTGATTTTTGATTTGCTTCTATATGACTTCGGATCTTAATTTTCTAGAATTCCAGTTGAGAGCGGGAATTTTGTAGAGTTTTAGGGTTTGTAGAATTGGGGTGGTTGTTATAGAGTGATTTGTTAGGTATTTATTTTTGATTTAATGGCGTCAAATCCTCCATTTGAGTTGGAGGATCAGACGGATGAGGATTTCTTTGATAAGCTAGTAAATGATGATGATGATGACGATGTTAGCTCGAAAACCACTGGATTGGTTCATGCTTCCGATTTATTGGACGGGAATGAGTCTGATGAATTGAAAGAGTTTGCTAATTTAAGTACAGGCGAGATAAGTCGTGGAAATAGTGGCGCGGAAACGGTTAAGGTGGAGGGGAACTGTGATAATCTGGGGATACAGAGTCTTGAAGCAAGGGGAGAACAGGTTGTTGATGGGGAGGCTAATTCTTCGTTAGTATCATCAGATTCGCCTGTTTTGGACAATGGGCCTGTAACAGGTGACGGGGATATGTCTTCTGAGGTTCAGTCAGGGTTGATGAGAGAGATTAGTTGCTCACCTAAAAGTGGTGTTAAGGAGGTCCAATGGAGTGCTTTTACTGATTCAGCTATGCACGGTAGTGGTGGTGTTGGATTTTATGACGAATTCCTTGCTGACTTAGGAGGGGGGGAACTGGGGAATTTCCATACCGAAGCTAAAGCTGTGCCTGGAAATGAGGCAAGGAAAAATGCAGTTACAGAGAGTTTGTTTAGTCAGGCTGAGTATCAAGGTTCAACTGGGGCTTTTACTGAAAAACCTCCAAATGGGGGAGATACATATAGCATCGAGTATTGGGAAAGTCTTTACCCTGGATGGAAATATGATTCAAACACTGCACAATGGTATCAGTTGCATGGTAGTGATGGAGTTTTAAATGGGCAGGAAAGCTTTGATATCACTGCTGGAAGTATACAAGGAACCTTTGGTGCAAATGGAGACAGCCTATCGGAAACTTCTAATGTCCAGTCATCCCAAAATTTTAATGCACAACAAACAGCTCAATCTGCCGTGGGAACTATAAGTCAATTAAGTATAACTGAAAATTTATCCGGACACAATTCCATTCTGCAACATTATGAGGAACATCTGTATCCAGCACATATGATTTTTGATTCTCAGTACCCTGGCTGGTATTATGATACAATAGCTCAACAATGGTTTTCTTTGGAAGTTTATCATGCAACGGATCAGACTAGGAATCCACAGGTTCAAAATGGATTCCTCTCCTCAGCAGGTTATTCTCATGCTAGTAGTACTAGTAGTCAGGGCATTAACAATGATGGGCTACAAGGTCCCAGAGGTGAAGGCCTGGAAAATTTTGTTGCTACATCCATTATAGACCATGACCAACAGGGTGCTCAGTTTGGGAGTGTGAACGGGCCTACTACCAATTTTAGTGTGGTTCCGTCGTGGCAAAGATTCAATGATAACAATAGCTATGGTAACAATCAATTGTGCCAAGAGATTCCCTCTGGTTCCACAGGAGCTTTGGAAACATACAAGCAAACAACTCAGAGTAATGATAATTCAAATTGGGCTGGTGGCTTGAACAATTTTTCTGCTGAGAATAATTTTCAGCTGTTTAATCATGCTCAACAAGCTCTGCAAAATGAGCAGCCAAGTCAATACCCAACTGGTCATTACAGCAGTCAACATGCAGCTGCTGTTCCCCAACCCTTATTTTCTAATGCTCACCATGTCTCTTGTTCACCAAGTGAGGGAAGGTCATCTGCAGGTCGACCTCCTCATGCTTTAGTTACTTTTGGGTTTGGGGGGAAGCTTGTAGTTATGAAAGATAATAACACTGGTGGGTTTTCAGCACTTGGAAGCAAGGTATATTCTCTCATTTATGCTTTATTATGTCAAGTTAATGTAGCTCTCATCTTAGATTTGGACCTCATTTGGTGATTTCGTCAGTGTGCCCCATATTTTATCATATTTAATTTTCCATTCCCCCTTTTGCAGGATAGTGATGGATGCTTCTTATCTGTACTCAATTTGATGGAAGTTGTGAGTTTGAGCAAGGGTCCGTCTTGCTCTGAGACAAGTGCTTATAGCTACTTCCATTCTTTGTATCATCAATCCTTTCCTGGTCCTTTAATTGGTGGTAATGTGGGAAGCAAAGATATGAATAAATGGATTGATGACAAGATATCAAACTGCGAATCTCTGGAAATGAATTATGGTAAACGTCAAGGTTCGAAATTGCTTCTTTCATTGCTAAAAATTGCTTGTCAACACTATGGAAAACTTCGATCCTTTGGCGGGGATACTGGGCTGAAGGTATATATGTTTTTGAATCCTGAGGTGGCTGATCTATAGTGTTGGAATCTTTTTACCTTTGTTGCATCTGCTATTGATTATGAACTGTTAATAGCTCCCACTCCCACTCACCCTTCCCCCCTCCCCCCTCCCCCCTCTTCCCCCTTCTCATTTTGAAGAGTTTTCATAATACGAGTTTTTTTGCTTCTTTCCTGGCATTCACTGTGAACTACCCAGTGGCTTTCTCCCCCCTTTGATTGTGCTTATAGCATTTTCCTTTAGGCAATCCACAACTTTTGAACTGCATGTGAACGACATTAAGCAAAATGATAGATTTCTATTTTGGTAACCATTAATATGTTTACATTTTTTGGCCGTCAGTTGTAAGTTCTCTCAGTTTGGTATTTGGGAGGTACTGCTTGGCCCTTTTGCACGCTGAAAGAAATGGAGAAGGGATTGCTTGTTTTAGTTCAGGATTAAGTTTCGTATTATTGGGCGACAAATCCCATACCTAATTTTTTTCTTTTGCATTTTTTTGTTTGGAAAATTTAACTGGGATAGTTTTAAGTTTAGGTTGTCTTTTCAAATTAAAAGCATTTATATAGTTTTTAGAAATATTTTCATTATTGAGGTTTTGTTTTGGTATGGGAAGTCAGCATTATGTCCGAATCTGCACTTTTTGCCCTTTTTTTTTGAGATAATTCATACGCATGATTATTTAATCTTGTGAGTTTGAGCCAATTTATGATGGCTATTTGTGAGACTTGTTGCTGGTGCAATAATCAGGATATTTTGGAGGGATAAAAGGAGATAGTTTTTGATGCGGGGGAATCGAGAGTTGAGGTTACAAGGTTTCTTTTATTGGAAACTGAACAACTTTGCCGGAGAATGTTATTGTAAAATAGTACATGAGAGTGCATTAGCATGGGGACAGGAAACTAAAAAGAGTGAAGAATTCACCTTAGTAATTTTGTATGTTGTGAGGAGTGTTTTCCACGTAGAAACAAGTGCTTCAAGGTTTAATGCTCTTACTTACAAATTAGATGTTCAGGTTCAGAAGCAAAGCTTGTAATTTGAGTGAATTCTTAATTGGCTTTTATATGGCACTATTTTCTGATATTCGAGTGTTAATTTTTCTCTGTGTGTGCGTGTGTGTGTAGGGGGGTGGGGGGGGGGGGGGGGGGGGGAGGGGGTGGTTGGTGGGAATTGAGAATAAATGAAGCATGGGTTCCTCATCGGTCATATTACTTGCCGTTCAATTCGTCAGAACTCAGAAATATTTAGGAATAAAAGCGGTTTCTTCCATATATGTTAGGAAAATGACCTTCCAGAATCAGCCGTTGCCAAACTCTTTGCATCTTCCAAGAGGAGTGATGGCCAGCTTAATGATTATAATGCAATTTCTAAGTGTTTGATGACCTTGCCTTCTGAAGCACAAATTCAGGTATACTGGGCCTCCCTGTATTTCTTTCATGTTTTAACCAGTATTATTACTTCTGTGAAAGACTGAAATGGATACTTGCTATTTTAGACAACTGCTACTGAGGTACAAAACCTTCTGATATCTGGTAGAAAGATGGAGGCTTTGCAACAAGCTCAAGACGGTCACCTCTGGGGATTTGCTCTAATTCTTGCCCGAGAACTTGGGGATCAGGTTTGTACTTGTAACTTCTCATCTTCTCTTATTAGATCAGTCTAGGCTCCCTGGCTACTTTGTTTAATGAATTTAATTAGTTGATTATTGGTATAATTTGCAGCTTTATGCTGATACCGTGAAGAAAATGGCAGTTAGCCAGCTAGTGGTTGGCTCACCTTTGAGAACTTTGTGCCTTTTGATAGCAAGAAAACCTGAAGAGGTTTTCTGTAATAGCACGATGCCTTCTAATGATGTGTATGAAGCAGTAAATATGTTGCCACAGTCTGGGCAGGTACGTAACTTCTCTTGTTATTGCTTCATTACACTGAGAAAAATAATTGAATTTTACATATCAATAAATTGTTAGAAAGAATTGACATCATTAGTTCAGGGTAGTTAAGAGGTTCAGTAAGGGGTTAGGACTGATGTCTAGTTGCACTATCCAACCCGCTATTTATTTTTTATATGATTTTGTTACGTCAAACAGACTTCAGAAAAGCTAGGTAGTATTCTAGAGTCGAATGAACCTAAACTAAACATTTTGATCAAACGGACTAGATAGTTTACCAAACTAGAAACGCTAGAATTGGCGAAAATCAACTCACTTAATTGCACAAGGTTTATCACAAACTTTACATTTTATTGATCTCAATCATAAACAAATTAATAAAATCATAAGGCCCTTTACATAGGCACTATAATTTCTTAAATAATCTAACAAAGAACACAAATTAATAAAATCATAAGGCCCTTTACATAGGCACTATAATTTCTTGAATAAGCTAACGAAGAATCCTACTATACATAGAAAATAAACCCCTAATTCGTAAAATTAATTAAATCCTATGGCCGCCCTTTTCTTCCTCTCCCCCTCCCCCTAACTTCCATGGCAGCCTCTTCTTCCTTCCCAATCCCATATCCTTTCATGGAACCCCCTCCCCACCATTGTATATACCTTGGCCTTTCTTTCACACACCTGTCTCACCTGTATCATACCCAACCCTTCAAACTTGGAGGTTTGAAACTTTGAATTGTTCAGTTCCTGATTCCTGTAAAATACCCCTTCAAGTCTTCTCCTGATCACACCTCTTACTGGCCTACAACAAAAAGCCCTAGTCTCTAATAAGAGATGAATTTCAAACTGTTTAGAGCGGTTCCAGATTATGTAATTCAATAGATTCCATAAGCTGCCAACTAGAAGTCTAAAAGCATTTCTAGATGATAGGTACTTGTGAAGTTGTGAGTATTATAGAAAATAATTAATTCTAGCTAGAGTAAAATAGGTAAAGTAATTATATGTTGTATTTTTTGTTGAAAAATTCAGTAGTCCTATCATCCAACATTAATTTAGCCAAGTTTACAAACATTATTAATCTACTACTTATATATCAAGACAATTATTACATTGATGTCTAAATTATTTGATATGATTATTGTCCATCGCCAAAGGCACATCAATTTCCACAAAAATATTATCAATTGAGAAAATTAGATAACTTTTCGTGCAAACAGCAAGGTTTCTGGGTTGCTTCAACTTAAGGGCAATACTTGTACTGTTATACATACAGGGGAAAGGGGGTCTATGAGGAGGGGGTTGCCAAGATAGGATGGTGAGGAGGGGAGTTGTGGAAGGGGATGGAATTATGGGAGGACGAGAAGGGGCTTCCATGGGTTTGGAGGAGGGAGAGCGAAGAGGCTTCCTTGGAAGAAGTTTATTGGATTTGATATCTTGCTTTCACTTTGTCTGAATCTTTACCATATAGTCCCTTCGGCCTCAAATAATCTTCCTGTCACGTAACTTATGTTAGGACATGCATTTTAAATTTTTAGTGGGGTTAGGATTAAAATGTGAAAGAGTGTTAGTAGAGGGGTTCTTCTCACATGGGTTGAATAATTTACAATTTTAAGTAAAGAAAGTTTTTTTTTTTTTTTTTTTATTTTATTTTTTTTTTATGGATTTCTTTAAAAGATAACATGAAGATTATTTGGTGGCATTGGCAACGGGAGTATAATGTATATTTTGATAATTTTTGCCTACCTAAGAGAATTGAATTGTAAGAACTGTCAATAGTACTGGGAAATTATGTTGAATGTCCCATAAATGTTTGATTTAGCTTTGGTGATGCTTACTTGAGGTGTTTACAATATCTTTTATTAAACGTTGGTGTCACTCTCAAATTTCAGTATGCTAAGCAGAATGCAGGTTTTAGCATGCTGGAGAACTGGGAGGAGAATTTGGCTGTAATAACTGCAAATAGAACTGAGAATGATCATCTTGTGATTATCCATCTTGGAGATTGTCTACTGAAGGAAAAACATGATGTATGTTTTCCACTTTATTCTGGGCAGCTGTTGGCTGTTAGGTTTTGTTTATGTTCTTTGTTTGCAACTTCAATATTGCCATTTCCATCCATTAGTCTACAGCTGTAGAAAAGTTATAAGATTTTTCAGCTTCATCTTATATGAGTCCAATTGTATAGGTTATTGCTGCACATATCTGCTACTTGGTTGCAGAGGCTGGATTTGAATTGTATTCAGATAGTGCAAGATTGTGTCTCATTGGTGCAGACCACTGGAACTTCCCAAGGACGTATGCTAGTCCTGAGGCAATTCAGGTGTTATTTTAGTTTCTTGTATTTCCTTTACAAGTTACTTCAGCTTTTTTATGCATGCAGTTAGACTTTTATTGTGATGTTTCCACTAGCTAGAGAACTCCGCATTTATTTATGCCTTATATGCTATACAAATCGGGGATAAAATAGTCCTTTGTATTTTTTATTATTTTAAATTGTATCGTGTGTCTGTCTGCACTCAATAGTTTATCACATTTTGTGCGCACTAGTTTAACTAGTTGAAAAACTGTTATCTAAGTTACTATCTTATGATTTTCTCCCTGACCATCAATGATCAACGTATAGATTCCTTCTATTCGTTTTTTTTTTCTTCTTATGTCGGGTCTTGGGTTGAGGCTACTATTCATGGAGGGGACAAGAACTTGGGTCTAATATTATCTGGCATAAACATTATTCATATTTCTACTCATTGACTTAAGATCCTTGCTTGATGTTGGGTTGATTTTACATGATTGTAGTGTTCATGGGAAGTGTTGATCTCCAACTCTTCCAAAGCTTTGTTTTGGAGTAATGGATTGCTGCCAAAATATGTATTATCTTGAGTGAACTAAGTGAAAACTATTGTACTCTGAAATCAACTGGAAGTTTGTTTTGAGTTTTGTTTACGCTCTCATTTTAAGTCATTATCAAGCAATGTTGGAACTTGGTATCGAATCACCTCAGCTATAAACATACTTTTATATGGCTTTTCTCTGAATTTGTTCAACTGCCAGATCTTGCTGACAGTGCTCGTCACTAGTTCACTACTGTATGGCCTATTGGCCTGTGGCTTTGGGGTAAGGAATGAACAATAGTGACAGGGTTTAATTTGCTTCTTTAGCTATGCCCAAAGATTTCCTGTCCAATCCCACTTGCCAAACAAGAAAGAAGCCAAGTGGGGATGGATCTAGATTTATTTAAGCATTCAGGCCATAAAAATTGTACTATCAGATGTTCTACACTCAACAAGGTCATGTACTTGAGTTTTCTACTATCAATCATAGGGCAGGAAGGAAGCTTTTTGTTGGGAAACCCAGCTCCTTGTTTTCATCTTTTTGTCAACCTATGCCTGATATCATCCCCACATCTCAGTTTCTGTCTAAAAGATGTATTCTACATACCCACAAGTGCACACCCATGAAATTGTAGATTAATTGACATGCCATGTCTATACCCATCGTTGGTGCAGGATGGGTCGCTGGAATTTGATTTTTTTTTTTTTTTTTTATTCTCTGATTGCGGGCCTTGTGGCTCATCTACACCCCCCCCCACCTCCTACCTCCCTCCCCTTTTTTTCCCATTGATTTGACTTATTACCCGAGTCAAGTGCTTTTGATCCTAGGCCAGGAAGCTTTTGTTGGGAAACTAGCTCCTCTTTAAAGTTTAAACCTTCTCTGATCTCATTCTACATTCCTTACCTACCAGCGCACACCTATGAAAATATTGATTTGTTGGCATGCCATGAGAAAGGTCCGAGTGTTTTGACACTGGATCGTTCAGTGCACTTATGCTTAGAGGTTGGCAAGGGTGCAAGCCCTTGAGTGGAAGAGGCTTGAGCAAATGAAGCGTACAAGCAAAGGTGTTATCTTATAAAGGGACATTTTTTCCTATTGGCAACAAAAGGAAGGGGATACGGTTGATCAGGCGCTTGTGCAGGCAGGAAGCAGGCACAAGTGAGACTGACAACCAGGAAATCAAGAGAGGGATTTTTCGGAATTGTATGCGTTAGGATGAGTTACAACACGATTTCTATATTTGTGCAACAACACAACACTTGTATCAAAGTAAAGCTGGGTAAGAAGCTTTGATTCTCACTACTCATGATTCTCTAAAGAGTTTTCTTTTGGAGATGCAATATTTTCCTTGTGTTTCCGATTGACAATGACATTATAATTACTCAGTGGCCTAGAAATTTAAAAGGAAAGTCCTTAAGGAGGTTGGATTCTAACTCCTCCCCTACTTAAGATGTTGAGCTCTAGATAAGTGATTTTGTTTTTTAAATCTTGAAAACTATTGTCTTTGGATCGCTGCTGGATGGTGGCGGTTGTATGAGTTCTCTCGTGTCTCGTCTAAGTTGGCTTCTTTGTTGGGTTTCTTGAGGTTGTGGAGATGTGCTTTGAACTACTTGGAATAGTTTCTTGAGGTTGCAAGTGAGCTTCCTGGATTCTTCTCGTCTCTGTTGCCTTTTCTTGAGGTTCTGGAGTTGTGCTTCGAACTTGTTGGAATAGTTTGCTTATAGTAGCTCTCTGCACTTGATAATCTAGGCTGTTTTATTTTTAGTTTTTATTTTATTTATGCACCATCCTTTCACTATCCATCATATAAATCTATGCCTCCCAATTTAATTTTTTTATTTTCTGTTGGATTAAAATATGTAGTAATAGAAATGGTCTTGAAGATTATGTTTGGTTTTTGCTTGTTACTGCAGATGACAGAGCTTTATGAATATGCAAAGGTTCTTGGGAATTCTCAGTTTGTCCTGCTTCAACTGCAGCCATACAAACTTATATATGCGCACATGCTGGCTGAGGTTGGAAGGATTTCGGATTCATTAAAGTATGTATATGAGCCTTTTAGTTTAATTGTTAAAGACATTTTTCCTTTGATTTTTTTTTTTTTTTTAAGATGATGGCATAATTCAGATACTGTCAAGCTGTTTACAAATCTCTGAAAATTGGACGGTCACCGGAGGCAGATACATTGAAACAGTTGTTGTCATCTCTTGAAGAGAGGATTAGGACTCACCAGCAGGTTTGACCTCAACTTTTCTTTTGCTAAGGAGTTGTGGTGCAATTTCTCTAACTTTTTTGTTTTTTTGTTTTTTTGGGTAACCTTTTCAGAGTGGATATTCAGGTAACTTAGCTCCAGCAAAGATAGTGGGTAAATTGCTGAACTTTATTGATAATACAGCTCATCGTGTTGTTGGAGGACTTCCGCCACCTGGTCCTTCGTCTTTAACAACACAAAGTAGTTATCAAGGCAGTGAAAATCAATTTCAGACACTGGGCCCTAAGGTGACTGGTAGTCAATCAATCATGGGTGTCTCATCACTGACACCATTAGCATCCATGAATGTAACGAGCAGTCAGTCAACCATGGGTCTGTCGTCACTGACTCCATCAGCATCCATGGAGCCCATAAGCCAGTGGGCAGTAGATGAAAGTAAAATGACATTGCAAAGTAGAAGCGTTTCTGAGCCAGATATTGGTAAAACTAAGCCGGTATAGTCACATGCTCTTGTGTACTTATATTGTACTTCCCAATCCCTTAACACACACACACACACACACACACACACACACACAAACCCGGTAGTTGTTAACTTTTATCTTTCAAATTTGATATGAAATAGGATCAGGTTGATTCTTCAAATGAAGCAACTTCTTCCAGTACAGTGGTAAAACAATCTGGTTCAGCAGGAACATCTCGCTTTGGTCGTTTGAACTTTGGTGCTCAGATCTTGCAAAAGACTGTTGGATTGGTCTTAAAGCCTCTTCAAGGCCACCAGGTAAGACCATCTATATTTATGTTTAGATTTCTTCCGTACCTGTACGGAATATATGAAACATCTGTATCTTACTGATTGGTTATGCTTATTTTATGAAAGGCTAAGTTGGGGGACACAAATAAATTCTATTACGACGAAAAGCTAAAGAGATGGGTGGAGGAAGGTGCTGAACCAACTCCTGAAGAATCTGCTCTGCCACCACCACCGACTGCTGCCTTCCAAAATGGAAGGTCAGACTATAATTTGAAGAATGCTTTGAATGATGGAATGCATGCCATTAATGGTGATCCAGGATCTAGTAGTTCAACCCATGAAAGCAGCCCTGCTATACCATCTATGCCTAGCTCAAATCAATTTTCAGCACGCGGTCGGATGGGTGTACGATCAAGGTATGTATGTATTAGCTATCTCTTGATTTTAGTCCTCTTTTGAGATCCTTCATCTCTGTTAGACTTATGCAGTGGTTGGAATATATTGCTGGAGTTGTGATCTTCAGCTCAGGTCTGATTCAGTTACCCTGTGCTCTGGTTGCATTATCAAATCATATTTTTGACAAACTTTATCCCTCCTCCACCCTCAGTGTTTCTGGTGAACTGGAAGATTTTAAGGGAAAGAAGCTCTCCCCTTGTTCGTATAGATTACATGAGTAAATTTTATAGCTTGAATGACATCTACCTCCACTTGGCTGCTGCAAACAGCAGTTTTGTGAGCTCTTTTCTGCGCCTCTTTTTTTTTTTTTTTTTTTTTTTTTTTTTTTTGGGGGGGGTGGGGGGGGGGATTTGTGGTTATTCTCTATAATGTGTTAATCTTTCTAAAAGTGAAGTTTGTATATATTTTTCTCAGTAGTGAATTTCTCTCTGTTTAGGTACGTGGATACCTTCAACAAGGGTGGCGGGGCCTCTACAAATCTGTTCCAGGCACCATCTGTACCGTCAGCTAAACCTACTAATCTCACTGGCACCAAGTTCTTCATTCCCCTGGCTGCACCGACAAATGAACAGACTTCAGGCACTGAATCTGGAAGCGGAAATGAAATTTCTGGAAGTGGAGAAAATTCTTCTAGTGATCCTTTCCAAAACCTAGCACCTTCACCCATTGGAACAATGCAGAGGTTCTCTAGTGTCGATGCCTTACCTAGCAAGGGTGCAATGGACAGTGGGATAAGCTCTCTTGCAACTCAATCTCGTCGTACAGCTTCATGGAGTGCAGTTCAAAATGATACATACACTCCACCTTCAACAAGTGAGATTAAATCTTCCCCACTTTCGTTTATGCCTGGTGATCAGTTGCTGGGTAATCTGCACATGGATAGAGACAATTCTGGAAATGACCTCCAGGAGGTTGAACTTTGAACTGGGGTGCTGTAAATATCTAGTTTTGCATTTTATGATTAGTATGAAAAACACAATTAGAAATTATCAAGGCCAAAGCTATTGAAGCCCAGCGAAGTGGAGCTTCAAGTTCTAGATACAAAAACTTCCTTTTTCTTCACTCTTTGCCTCCTGCAAATATGTCAGAAAATTGTTAATCTTATTATTGTACTAATTACTAATTAGAGGTAGGATGTTGTAGTCGTTAGATGGACATACTACATGGCAAAAATGAGTTGGGGCACCTTGTACAGTTCCATTTTGTTAGGTTCATTTGAAATGTACTATAGTGAACGGTTAAAGGTGGATAGGAGGGAAATATGTCAAGGCGAGATTCAATAATGTAACGACAGTTTTCATGTTTCATATTGCTGACTTTATCACAAACTTTTAAATAAGGTAGGCGTATACAAATATTGTCAGACAAGTGCAAATAATATTCAGTTTACCTGATTTGATTTGTTCTGATTTAATTTTTAGATTTGACCTAAACATTAAAAATGCACTTTTCAAATTTGAAAATTTCATAAATTTTTCAATTACAAAAATAAAGATATTCAATGATAAATAAATGCAAATAAAAAGATTTGGTAACTATCTAAAGTTGATTTTTGGTCTCTATTTTTTTTTTTTTGAAAGGTTTGTTCTCTATTTTATGATTAATAAACAATAATCATCCAAACGAGAAGAAGAAGAAGAAGGAAAAAAAAAAAACCCTTATCTAATATGAATAATAATCACCTATCTTTTTTATGATAAAATGGTTTTTTTTTTCAAATTTAATATCATACCACTAATAAATAAGGCCGGTCTCACAACCAGGCCACGAGACATCGACACTTGGCATTTCAGTTTTTCGCCAAGTGCCGAGTCACGTAGGCGACAAATAAGTATTATTGTGGCACATATGATGCTAATTAAGCGAAATTTGAATAGATTTTTTTAAGGTAAAAATGTTGTACAGTGTTTTATTATTGATAGAATTCTAATATTTCATATATATAAAACTAATCACAACTTTTTATAAATATCGTATAACTCAATTCTATTTCCATCATCAAATTCTTTTTAAAAAGGTCTTTAAAGTAAGATCCATTTATAACATATTTAATCACAAACTTTTATATGTAGCTGGTCAAATCGTGTTACCAACTATTATAAGAGTTACTTTGTGAGTGCTATAGGGGTTACTTGATCAATGTTATAGTGGTTACTCAATTAGTGTTATAGATAGGGGTTACTTAGTTAGTGTTAAAGGTTACTTAGTTAGTATTACAAGGGTTACTCGGTCAGTTTTATACGAGTTACTTTGTCCGGATGGTATGGCTAGTCGCGTACAAAATGCGTTGTTATTTAATTTATTTTAAAAAAATAATAGAGAATCAGTAAAAAAAAGTTTTAATATGTAAAAATAATTTTAGTTTCATAAAAATACTTTAAGTTCAGTGGAAATAATTTAAGCTCAATATAAGTAATTTCAAGTCAATAATAAAATATAGATATCTATTTACAAACAAAACTACAAAAAGTACACTATTATATAAATATAAGCCATATGATATCGTATGTCTAAATATCCTACATTATCATAATGGATTATATGACCGTATTTATTAACATTCAAGTAAAAATGTTATCCTAAAATTTTATCAACCATCTGGGCATCGCCTGGACACAAAACTAGTATATACATAAAGAAATGTTTTTTCCCAAGATTTTGAGAGTCACCTAGGATTTTAATTTTTTATAAATTATTAGAGTGTCATGTAGGATTAATATTTTTAGAGCGTCACGAGTAGGATTATGCCACGTAGGATTATTATTTAAAAGTGCCACGTAAGATTAAAATTAAAGGTTTTAATTTATTATAAAAATAAAATAACATCTTTTAAAATTGAAAATTTTATCTAAGAGAAAAGAAAGAATTTATTTTATTTCGTATATAAAAAAAATACTATTAAACTTAAAAAATGAAATTCACAATTAATTGATATTTAAAAAAAAACAAAATTGGATTTGATAAAAAAAATAGTGAAAATATGACAAGTGGTTATAATAAAATATTTTATAAAAATATTAATAAAAAAAAAATGAAATCACTTTTAATTAAAAAAAAAATCAGTTTTCTTTCAAAAAAAATATATCAGTTTTGGATTAGATACAAAAAATAAGAAAAAAAAAATCATTTAAATTAAAAAATATACTCCCTCCGCCCGCAATTATCTGCAACATTTACCTAAAATGGGTGCTCTCTATTATTTGCAACAAAATTTTTTCTTTCCTTTTTTGGTAATATTTAACTATTAATTACCCACTATTACCCACTTTTTTGGTTAGTGGTCCCCTCCACCACCTACTACCCACTAACTAAAACCCACTCAAAACAAAATTAAGTGAAACCACTCCTTTTCCTTCCATTTTCAACCTTAATTAAACCCACCAAAACTCCCCTAAAAGTTTTGCCTAGGAGTCCGCAAACATGTCCTTTGTTGCAGATAATCCCGGGCGGAGGGAGTATCTTTTTTCTTTTTCTAGCAAAAATAAAATAAAATTGTTCATCATTTATCATTTATTGATCTAAAAGATTAAGTTATACGTAAACAAAATTTATCATATCTAACAATAAACTTTATCACTACTTTAAATTCAGTATTTTTTAAATCCTATATATATAAACTCATCTAGTGTCCTACGCGATGAACGATGATCATAATTAATAAGCCACTTCAATCATAAGTGTTAATTTTGCAAGGATATTAATTTTGCAAGAGGACGGGTTTAATCATGCAACTTATCAACTGACACGATCAACGATTGATTTACAAAAAATAATGGAAGCCTGGAAGATTATATTTTCACCGTGTTCACAATTTAAAAAAAAGTTGGTTAAATAAATACATATAGTTTCACATATATTATTTTCTTTCTATTTTTCTTCGAGAATTGGTTTGTATTGTTGTTTAAACAAACAATTTACAAAATATACCGTGTTTATATATGTGTTAACCTTAATTGTATAAAATTAAAAAAAAATAGTAATATTATGTATTAATATTTTGTTATTACTATTGAAAATTATTAAATGTTTAATTTAACTATTAATAAAAACCCGTGCATCGCACGGGCTTAAATCTAGTTTTTAAATTTTTTTTTTTTTGAGTAAGGGTTTAGGGTTTTTAAATATTTAAATCACTCCTAATGATGTATAAAGGCAACCATATTATTTTTTCTTAAATATATAAACCCCTCACTAATCTATATAATAATTTAACAAGTTTTTTTTTTTTTTTTTTTCTCTTTCTAACTTCACACCACAACACTCCTAAACTCCAATCCATTAATTTAAGGAAAAAAATATATGCAGCCCTAAACCCCTAAGAGTTGCATATAAGAAGCTAAAAGTGGAAAGAATGGATAATAAATAAACATTTATTACACCGATTTACTCGTAAATTGTTGATAAATTTCCAACTTAATACTACAAAAGGAAGTATATTAAATGCTTATATGCAGCATATAAGATTACCCTTAATTTAATGCACTTTTTAAATTTTTTTTTTTTTTTTTTTGGTAATAACCTCCAAATAACTACCTATTACAATTTTTTTAATTGATTTATTTGTTTTTTAGAAAGAGGATCAAAACTTCCTATTACATTTATTTTTGTAAGAAACCAAATTATTCAAATTATTTAAATATAAATTCCATGCTTTAGCACAGACACGTTCTAGTTACTACTATTGCAAGGAATTCAAAACAATTTAAGTCACCTCAGATCGGTGTTACTTGGACGTAGGATCGATGATGATGTATAGTGTCATTGTTCACCCAAAAGCACAAATTCATTATGGGCTCTAAGAGTTCATAATAATTGCCACTCACGGGACATTTGAAAAGACGAAATCAGAATTGTAAATAATAGCATGTCATTCCTTTAGGTAACACCATCGACGATATATCAATCATATAGTTCACACTAGAAGTGAAATTTTTTTAGTTCCAATCTTTATAAAGATTAGAAGGTTTTAGAATTTAAAGTTTAATCGATTAAATTATTTTAATTAAAAAAAAAATTGATTAAATTACTGTAATGAACTGACGACATCATCCACCAACAATCAAAACAAGACTGGAACGACTTGCTTGTAATGTGCATTGTTTTATGCTCATCCATATAAAAAAATTAATATGTACTTCGTAATTTTTGTAACTTGGATCAATGTCCTTAAAATTATGAGGAAAAGGACGTAATGTAGCACATAACATATCCATAAACAATTGAAGACCTAAAGCTGTGTCAAATACAATTTACTCCAAACTTATTTACAAGAAAAGAAGAGTTCATGTTAAACTATGAAGTCTTAATTGTAAATTTCACCACATGCATCAGCAATCCAAGCTAAGAAAGCTGGCACAGGAGCTATTTCTTCTTAGTCAGAAAATACATTTAAAAGGCCGAGGCAGGATCCACAGTCCCAGAAGAGCCTTCCACCATACTCATTTGTCTTCTTAGCTTAACAATATGAGCCTGTACCTATTACAAGGTGTCAAAATATTTTGGAAAAAAAAAAAAATTACTATTAGTTGTTAATCAGAAGGTTTGAAGCGTGATAAATACTCCATAAAGTATAGCTTCTTCAACGTAAGTGGTTACATCACACAAGTTTGACAAAACGTAGTTTCCAATGAGCATGTACAAGTAATAACATAGTGAGCACATTATTTTTTCTATGGATGAGCATAAAACAATGCACATTATGAACGACAAATATAAATATCGAGTATTATGTAATATAGCCAATAGAGAAACATACAGAAAAATACACAAACATATATTACAAACAGATCAAGTGTCTAAAACCTAGTTGTCGTAAGTATTGAAGTCTTCAAGAGTTTTAGTGGTTTCTACTGAATATCTCGATCTACTATGACTATGCAAAAGTGGTTTCATTGGTTAAAGTTTTGGAATCAAATCACTCATGCAGTTGCATAAAGTTTTTTTATGCATGTGTATACCATGTTCTCTTTCCATAAAGTCTAAGACAGCCTCCTTGCAGTTGCAAAAACAAATTGGCATACAATTTAATGTCAGACATGTCCAAAGTAGCAGTTATGCACGGGGACATAGTTTTACATTGGATCACAATATATCTGCAGTTGCATAAAGAATTTCTATGCATGTGTATACCATGTTCTTGGTAGTTTAGCATCATAGACAATGCATTTCCCATAGAATCTAATCAAAGCAGCCTCTTTGCAATTGCGAAAACAAGGTGGCATACATTCTAAATGTCAGACATATCCAACATAAAAGTTATGCATGGGGGACATTGTTTACTTTGGTTCATAGTATATCATCATCATAGTAATAATTGACCAAGTAACTCAAAGTCATCCGTAATTACCAAGACAACCGAGTGACTTCTATAAGATACATCCTAATACTGGCACTCACTCAGGCAGGAATGCAGTTCTGCATGGGTACATTTAAATAGTTCATTATTTAACTTGTGATATTGGGCAAAGGGTTAGATTATGTGCCTTAACCTCGGGAAAAATAATGTTAAATTCACCATCTTCATTTGGTTCACTTGAGGGAAAAGGCCAACCAAAGAGATACATACAGCGGAGAAAGATATTCAAGCCAGTGGCAGGTCTTATTGGCTCAAAATCTTCAAGCACATAATAAAATCAAATTCAGGACATGTGCAATTACAAATTCCCAAATCCACTATCACAAATTCACAAGTCGTGCCTTACAATAGTACAAAGTCCTAATTACAATTCTTATATCACATGTCACAATTTTTATATCACAAGTCAGCCTGTAAATAGCTTATACTTCTACACTAATATGCAATGGCATTATATAAACTAACATTCTATTGTTCAAACAGCTTGAATTCAATTGCATTAAATCTGTAATTAGTAAGTAGACAGCTATGATACAAAGTAATTAAATTATTAGTTTATACCTTAAAAAAGAATCCAAGATAATCTACCAGATAGGAAACAGAATGGGACGTAGGTTTGCAGACTTTTTGTGCCACTACGGATGCAAATATAACCAACATTTCCTAAGTACAAATATAAGATCTCAAAGTATTATAAACTATAGCCAACTATTGCCTAAAGTACCAAGAATATTAAAATATGCTAAAGCACCTTTGTGCTGATGCAAATGAAGGGGAGGAAAACACCTCCCTAGGCTCCCACTGTCAGTCCTATCCTTGCAGAAAATATGATAAACTAATGTTTGGACATTACCAGAACTTATTCTAACCATTCCAAGCTTGAAGACAAAAAATTGAGAAAGGTCAACTCAAAAACCAACAACAACAATATGATTCAGAGTCCACCTCTTACCATACAAGTGCATGGAGTTCTGTATAACAAGCAAGAAAAAACCTACTATATGGGTGCAAATCAAGAAATCGCCACACACATCAGAAACTGTAAAAGTCTTAAACCAAGCACTAATTTAGAGTTTATCACACTGAACAATACCAATCTTGCAATAAAATAAACTTTAGAAACTACGAAAATGCCAAATAGATTAATATAGAAACCAGATGACTGCAGTTACCTGTTGACGAGCTGCGGCAAGTTTGAGAAGTTCATCTGCCTCTGAAAAATTCATAAACCAATGGCCTAGAGGGTGATCTTTAGTGCTCCCTCTCCGATCACTGTTTTCTTCAGTCAGAGCTACAACATCAATTAAAGAGCTAATCAAGCTCACAAAAAGTCTTTCAATGAAAATAAATGAATAAATAAAATGAAAGAAGAATCACATCATACCGGAGGGTGGTAGCTCTAAACCTGCAGGAAACCGAGGAACAACAACAGCAGGGTGATTCTGCACGCGACCAAGAAAGAGCTCGGAAGGATCAGGAAAAACAACTTCATCATATGATTCCACAACAACAGGCTTCTTGGTAGACTGTGGACCACTCTGTTCTAGAGGATATAGCTTTAGATGGTGGAATCTGTTGAGAAGTTAAATACCTAATGAGATCCACCCTTGAGTAAAAGCACAAAGAAAACAGAGAGAATTTACTCACACGTCCAATTTCCTGTCACATGCATCACTGTGGAAGTAGAGTGAAATGGCAATCTCAAATTCACCCCAACCGCATTCAGACAATTCAAAAGGTGGAGAATCAACAACTCTGATAGGGTTATTGAAACTGGGGTGGAGTTGAAAAACAACACGCTTAACTACAACACTCAAATCCTCATTTGTTGCCCCACGAACATAGACTGTCCATTTATGTGATTGAGACCTAAATTTTTTTTAGAAAAAACAAGTAAGTAAATAAAAATTCACTTAGACATGCTATCAAACACCAGGTGGGCAATAAGTGAAATCAAAATATGCAAACTCACTCAGTTGCCTTCCGACCAAGCCAAAACGCAATGGTTCCATAAACAATTGGCACGGAAATTTCGACATCCTTGGCTCTTCGACTCAAATTCTTGACATAACCCATTGATTAAAAGTTGGTAAGGGTTAGAACGGAGTAGAAATAAATATGGAACCCTATAAAAAATTGTGACCGACTTCCCTAAAAAAAATTAATCAATAAATCTTGAAAACAATTACTCTCACCTTTTTTTCTCTCTCTTCGTGAGAGTTTTCAGCTTTATTGAGCGGTGAGCCGCCACCATCAGAGTGATCGACCCCATCTTTTGGGGCAGAAGGTGGTATTTGAGTCATAGCAAATCGAAACAAAATTTATAGTGGAATGAAATATTTTTGTTCTAGAAAAATTACCACCTATGGCATAATACACTCATATAGCAAATTGCACGATGATCACAATGCCCGACATCTTCCAAAACATGAAGCTTTCAAGAGCTTATCTCAACCCCGCACCTTATGCATCTGTAAAATCGATCAAAACTTCTAAGCTTCACTACTATCAGTTACAAGATACCCAATATACAGCACTCATATACTATCAAGTATTCTTATTATCTTCATTTTCGACAACCAATTCCAAGTTTAAGACATGCCACTGCATATATAAATTGAGACATAAACTTACCCAAATAATCAAGCTCCAAAAAACAGAAATTTAAATGGCGAAATACAAAAAATGAAATACGGAGTAATATATTATCACTATCTTAAGCTTACCTGATATGGGTTTTCGTCCCACCAACACTGGAGATATGACCCTCTGGAATTCTGGATTGCTAAGTGATATGGTTGGAATTAGTTAAATGAACTAATTCAATTAATAACTCATAGTTATGTAATAATTGGAAATTTGTTAGATATTTGTTGCAAGTTGTTAGTAAGTGGGAAGTAGTGGAGTAGTTAGTTATTTCCTTTAAGCGGAATTATAACGTGTAACCCACTACAATAAATATGAATAGTTGTACTGTAGCTAGTAATCAATTTTTTTTACAGAATTAATTCATTTCTTCTTCTCTCTTCAGTTCCCCTCTGTTTCTCTATCTCTCTTTCTTTCTCTTCTTTTCCCAATTACCCATATTTCCGCCATTGGAGAAGTTTCAAGTTACCTCCATTATCATTGGTATCAGAGCACTCTTACTGTACCTCTACAGTGAGCGATTCTGGCGCCTCCTCCTGTGACTCGACGAGTTGCTGCAATGGAAGACCAAATCAAGAATCTGGAAAAAACGAATTGATGATCAAATTTCAAGATTCGATCAGAAAATTGATGAGATGTTGAAGATGATGCAGGCGATGCAAGCTGAGAAGGTTTCAACCCCTTCGAGCTCCGAACCCTCTTCTCCAACATACTCTAATGGCAGTTTGAGCAGGTCCAATTCCACCAGGACCTTAGGTATGAACCCTAAGCTTGAATTTCCTAAGTTTAATGGTGTCAATCCTCGGATTTGGGTTAAAAAATGTTGCAAATACTTCAATCTTTGCAAAATTGCTAATGATCAAAAGGTGGATTTGGCCTCATTGAATATGACTGATAAGGCTGAACATTGGGTGATGAATTATCTGTCTATTAGAAGGTCAGTTGTTGTTGATTGGAATGACTTTGTTGTGGATTTTTATGCACGATTTAGGGATAATTCTGCTTTAGATGTTGTTGAGCAGTTCAATAGATTGCAACAATTAGGGTCTATTGAGGACTATATTGATGAATTTGAGAAACTTAGATCTGTAATGCTGATGAATAATCATATACTACCTGATGCTTATATTTTGGAGAGTTTTGTGGGAGGGCTTAAATCAGCTGTGAAACCCTTTGTTAAGGCGTTTAAACCAGCGACTATTGCCCAGGCAGTGGATTTTTCTAGGCTACAGAAGGAATCTCTGAGTTCCATTCATACATACAACCGTTCTAAGCCATTCTCTTATACATCAAAAACACAAACAACAAACACAAATAGCCCAAACACATTACCCCCATTGTTACCTACCCCTTCTTCTAAGCCTACCCTACCAGCTTTGACACAATTTCCACACAAGAACAAAAACTATAAACATATACCAGCTGATGTTAGACAGGAGAAGATTGCTAAAGGACTGTGTTACTACTGTGACCAGCCTTATACAAGAGAACATCAGTGCCAATTTAAGAAACCTCAGTTGTTTATAGTTGAAATTCCTGGATCTATTGATTCTGACAGTGATGAGGATTTGGGATCTTTTCCTAATTCCATTGATGAACCTCAAATCTCTATGCATGCTCTTGCTGGAAATCAGTCTTTTCAAACTATGAGAGTGATAGGCAGAATTCAGGGAAAGGATTTACACATTCTTATTGATTCTGGAAGTACACACAACTTTGTGGATGCTTCTGTAGCTTCTAAGTTGGGTTGTTCTTTAGAGCAGATTCCTTTCCAGGCTATCTCTGTAGCAGATGGGAATCATATTCCTTGTCGGCAAGCTTGCAAGGGGTTTGCTTGGAGTATGCATGGCCATAGTTTTGAAGCAGATGTGTTGGTCATTCCCTTAGGGAGTTGTGATATGGTGTTGGGAATACAATGGTTAAGACTGTTGGGTTCTATTCATTGGGATTTTCAGAAGCTTAGAATGGAGTTTACTTTTCAGGGAAAACAAATTGTTCTTAAAGGTATACCACCTAAAAAGTTGTCTGTGGTAGAAGGAGATCCTAGAGCCTCAATCATGGATTCTTCAATCCAGTTATGTTTGTTGCATGTTCAAGATTCTAATTGCTTTGTTGGGCAGATGGAACAGGACACTAATACAGTTTTGAGTAATTCTGAATTTTTGGCCATCAAACAGCAGTATGCTAAGGTTTTTGAGGAACCTTCAGCTTTACCACCTGTCAGGGGTGTATTTGATCACTCTATACCTTTGATACCAGGCAGCACACCTGTTAATATCAGACCCTACAGGTATCCCCTTAAACAAAGGGATATAATTGAACAATTGGTGCAGGAGATGCTAGATAGGGGCATCATCCAAAACAGTTCAAGTCCTTTTGCTTCCCCTGTTATGTTAGTGGGTAAGAAAGATGGAACTTGGAGGCTATGTGTAGATTATAGGGAATTGAATAACATAACTGTGAAAAATAAGTTTCCTATCCCTGTAATTGATGAATTGATAGATGAACTTGCTGGGGCTTATGTGTTTACTAAGCTTGATCTTAGGGCAGGTTACCATCAAATGAGAGTAAGCTCAGCTGATGTGTTCAAAACAGCCTTTAAGACCCACACTGGCCATTATGAGTTTTTAGTTATGCCTTTTGGCTTAACTAATGCTCCAGCTTCTTTTCAAGGTTGGATGAATCATGTCTTTAGGCCTTTACTTAGGAAGTGTGTTTTGGTGTTTTTTGATGACATCTTGGTCTATAACAAGTCCTTAGAAGATCATTGGAAGCATTTAGCTGAGGTATTTGAATTGATGCAGCAGAATAATATGTTTGCTAAAGAGAGCAAATGTATATTTGCTTCATCAAGAGTTGAGTATTTGGGACATTATATTACTCAGAATGGTGTTGAGACAGATCCCAAGAAAGTAGCAGCAGTGAGCAGTTGGCCTGTTCCTTCAAATGTCAAAGAATTGAGAAGTTTTCTAGGTCTAACAGGCTATTATAGGAAATTTGTGAAGGGATATGCTGTTATTAGCAAGCCTTTGACTGATCAGCTTAAAAAGTCTGGTTTTTCTTGGAATGAGCATGCTCAGGAAGCTTTTGAAAAGCTTAAATCTGCTCTAGTTTCAGCCCCTGTGTTGGCCATTCCTAATTTTGACTTGCAGTTTGTTTTGGAGATTGATGCTTCTAAGTATGGTATTGGTGCTGTTCTGATGCAGGAAGGTCATCCATTAGCCTATATTAGTAGGTCACTGGGAACAAAGTGGCAAAAACTATCAGTTTATGACAAAGAGTTGCTAGCTATTGTGTTTGCAGTTCAAAAATGGGAGCAGTATTTGGTTGGTGCACATTTCATCATAAAAACAGACCAAAAGAGTTTGAAATGGTTACTTCAACAGAAGATCTCCACACCCTTTCAACAATTTTGGCTTTCAAAATTAATGGGGTTTGATTATGAAATTCAATATAAGTGTGGAAAGGAGAATGTAGCTGCAGATGCATTGTCAAGGGTTCAAGGCTCAGAGATCTTGTTTATGGTTGTTTCTCTGGTTGAATCTAATTTGGGTTCTATGATTACTGCCAGTTATAACTTGGATGACAATTATACTGCTATGATTCAACAGTTACAGAACCAGGTGGGAATTACTGATTTTAAATGGGAAGGCAATTTGCTTAAAAGGAAGGGCAGAATTGTTGTGGGACCTGATCTTCAGCTTAGAAACAAAATTTTGGCATGGCATCATGACTCTCCTGATAGTGGACATGGTGGCATGGAATTGACCTTAAAAAGGGTAAATAAATTGTTTTACTAGAAGGGTCTTATAAAGGATGTTAGTGCTTTTGTGAGGAAGTGTGTAATTTGTCAGGCTGCTAAATATGACACAGCTGCATACCCTGGTCATCTTCAGCCTCTACCTGTTCCAGAAGAAGTTTGGATTGATATTTCTATGGATTTCATTACTGGGATCCCTAAATCTGCTGGAAAAGATGTGATTTTTGTTGTGGTGGATAGATTCAGCAAATATGCCCATTTTATGGCATTGTCTCATCCATTTACAACAATTCAAGTGGCACAGTGCTATTTAGATAGTGTGTTCAAGCTCCATGGGTGGCCTAGATCAATTGTGAGTGATAGAGACTCAATTTTTGTTAGTCAGTTTTGGAGGGGTTTGTTTTCTTTGTATGGAACAGACTTGAAGTTATCCACAGCTTACCATCCTCAAACTGATGGACAGACTGAGGTTGTTAATAGGTGCTTGGAAGCCTATTTGAGGTGTATGACTGGAGATGAGCCTCAGGAATGTCATAAATGGCTACCCTTAGCTGAATGGTGGTATAACACACATTTCCATTCTGCTTTACAACTAACTCCTTATGAGATGGTCTATAATCAGCCTCTATCTTTACATCTTCCTTATCTTGCTGGTGAAGTCAAGAATGATGAACTTGACAGGAGTTTACAGAGAAGGGAAAGGATGATTTCTGAGCTTAGATTTCACCTGAAAAAGGCTCAGCAGAGAATGAAGTCTCAGGCAGATAAACACACATCAGAAAGAGTTTTTAAAGTTGGCGATTGGGTTTGGCTCAAATTACAGGATTATAGGCAGTTCACTGTTCAACGGAGATGTAATTTCAAACTTTCACATCAGTTTTATGGTCCTTTTCAAGTGGCTGCAGTTGTAGGGAAGGTTGCTTATAAATTGAAGTTGCCTTTTGAAGCAAAGATACATGATACATTCCATGTGTCTCAGCTTAAGAGTTTCAAGGGGCAGTTGCCTTTGGCTGCTCACATTCCTTCTGTATTTCAAGGCCAAATTGTGGGGTCAGAAGATATTCGTCCTGCTGCTATTTTGGATAGGAAGATTGTCAGATTTCAGAATAGAGCACATGTTCAGTATTTGGTGCATTGGGAGGGATTTCCTGATTATGAAGCTACTTGGGAGTCTGCTGAGTATTTGGAGCGACAATTTCCTGATTTTGTTCCAGCTTTGACTTGAGGTCAAGTCTGTTAAAAGGGGAAGGCTATGATATGGTTGGAATTAGTTAAATGAACTAATTCAATTAATAACTCATAGTTATGTAATAATTGGAAATTTGTTAGATATTTGTTGCAAGTTGTTAGTAAGTGGGAAGTAGTGGAGTAGTTAGTTATTTCCTTTAAGTGGAATTATAACGTGTAACCCACTACAATAAATATGAATAGCTGTACTGTAGCTGGTAATCAATTTTTTTTACAGAATTAATTCATTTCTTCTTCTCTCTTCAGTTCCCCTCTGTTTCTCTATCTCT